TTGATTTTTTTAAATGATTTTGTCAAATTAGTCCGGTGCATTGGCCTAGTGGCTAAAGTCCTCGCTTTGCATGCTCCAGGATCTCATATGGGTACAGGTTCATATCCTGGCTGCTCCGTTTCCCATCCAGCTCCCTGACTGTGGCCTGGGAAAGTAGTCGAAGATGGCCCAAAGCCTTGGGACCCTATACTCACGTGGGATACCCAGAAGCAGCTCCTGGCTCCTGGCTTTGGATCGACTCAGCTCCAACCACTGCAGCCATGTGGGGATTGAAACAGCAGACAGAAGGTGTTTCTATTCCTCCTTCTCTTTGGAAATCTGCCTTTCCAATAAATATAAATCTTAATAAAATAAAACCCAATTCCCAAAATAGCGATGGGGAATATGAGGTCTGTGGCCTCATATGGATGGTGAAATAATCTGATCTGTCCCTGCTGCTCAGTTCTTGCTAGGGCAACAAGAGGTGGGAATCAAAATCCAATAAATCCATAGCCTTTGGTGTAACCATGCTGTTTGTCTGTAACTTGCTGGTCCTCTCCCAAAACTCCTGACACAGGCTTAGCGCACGATTTTCTTTGAAAATAAACAGGATGCTCACTATTTTAGCATCAAATTACTTAAGACTGAACTAAATCATACATGCAGGGGTTTATACACACCTGTTGACCACATAAATGGAGAAACATTCAAAGCATGTGGCTTGACACTCTGCAAGTCATCCCCCATCTATAGCTTGCCTACTCCACTCAGCAACATCCTCCACAGTGACTAACCAAACACAGCCCTCCACACACGAAAATCCCCAGTGGAAGGAGAAGATCCAAAACACCCACCTAAGTCAACAGACTTTCTGAAGCATTCATCAGGTAAGTACTACATGTTAATCAACTGTACCAACGGAGCCATAATGAAACACTCTTTTTGAATCATGAATTCATCCATGAGCGAGATGTGTAACAGTGCTACTTCAGTTCTAAATTTTTACAATTGAGTATGGTTCTTTTCCAAATGATTTAAAAAGCTAACACTTAGAAATACATTATCTATTCTGAAAATAAACCTAAGTTCTGTGTATTAGGCCCTACATATACTACATTCAAGATTTAAATAAGCTAATAAAAGAACGATCACATGTGAATGATTATAAAGATTTAACAACCATTCTTTACTTTTTAATACCAATCCTCAGCAACTACATATCCCTTAGGCTTTTAAGGACACAGACACTAGTTATACCAAAAAGAATCAAGATGCTCAGTCCACTGTTTGGATTCTAAGATAGCCTCAGGTACGCTGACGGAGTACACTGACCTTTCCTAACCCACATTTACAAGGTGCTACATTTCCTAGAAATCTATCGTAAAGTTGCCTTTTTGTTTGTGCGCTATGTCTGTCCCATCTCTATAATGTCTTTCCTGCCAGCTTAAGTCCTAGTTACCCTCAAAACTCAGCAAACGCTGTCTCTTAATGAGATCATTCCAATCCTCTACTTTCCTTCAACCGAATGAGTGCTTCCTCCGTTTCTGTGAAACTTCTTGCTTTTATTATTTATCTAACACTGTGGTCTAGCAACCTGCATGCCTTTGTTTGGCCTTCAAACTCATGAATCCATTAATTTTACTTTTCATTTATTTGAAAGGCAGATTTACAGAACAAAAACAGGACAGAGATCTTCCACCTGTGGTTCGCTCCCAAAGGCTACAAAAATCCATTACAGAGTAAAAGAGGGAGAAAGAGGGAAGGATCCTCCATCCAGATGGCCTCAAAGGCCAGGGCTAGGCCAAGCTGAGTCAGGACCATGGAGCTTCAACCAAGGGTCCAAACACTCAGGCCATTCTCCATTGCTTTTTCCAGGCCACTAGCAGGGAGCTGAACGGAGGCAGAGGAGCCAGGCTCAAACCAGCACCCATGTGGGAAGGCAGCACTGCACGTGGTAGTCTTACCAGCTGTGTTGTATCACTCACTGGTCCCTACATTCACTTCTAATGTTTATACTTGCTTCAACTATTTGATAGTGAATTTCCTAAAATCCACATTTGTTTTTACACCAGCTAAGTCTACTTTGACGTAAAGTACGACTTCAGAACTCCTGCAAGTTCTATAACAGTAAGGATGAATCCTAAGAACTTCCTGCTAGCTGAGTTATACCATTCACAGAACACATCTATCGCATGGTTACACTTATGTGAGATACCAAAGACAGTTCAAACTACAGAGAGTAGAACAGCTGATGGCAGGGACCGAAACCAAAAACTGTTATTCAACGAGTAGAAAGTTCCAGGTAAGGGGCATGTTAAGGTATAGCAAATAAAGCCACTGCCTGTAGCACCAGCATTCCATTTGGGCGCTGGTTACAGTCTGAGCTTCTCCAACTCAAACCCAGTTCCATCAATGTGCCCAGCAAAGTAGCAGAAGATGACCTGGGTCCTTAGGCCTCTCCCCCATGTGAGACACACCTGCTGGTCCAGGTCACCTAGCTCCGGCCATTGCAACCATTTGGGAAGTGAACCAGCAGATACACAGTCTTGATCTCTCTTTCTCCAACTTTCTTTCCAAATAAATCAGTTTTTATTCAAAAGTAAAATAAAAAGTTCCAGTTGTATTAGAAACATTCTAGGGATTTACCATTCAACACTACATCTACAGCTAATAAACTACATTTAAACATGTTATGCTATATCATTTATTAAGAGGCTATATTTCACCTTGCGTATTCTTAACACAATTAAAAATACGGTCCTGGGGCAGGCACATGGAGCAGCTCCCATTCAGCTCGCTGCCTAACACACCCAGGAAAGCTGCTACCTACTGTAGCTCCTGCCACTTGTGAGACCCACATGGAGTTAGCTAGAGCCTGGCACAGCCTTGGCACTTGAGGGTTAGGCCAGAGGATGCAGGATTTCTCTCCCTCCCTCACTGGCATCTGCATTCAAATAAATCAACCTTTTTCTTAAAACTAAACAAATAAATAACAGGTTTGTTGTGGGCTTTTTTTTTTTTTAAGAAATGGAGATCTTTTTTAAAAGATATATTTCTACTAAAAAGGCAGATTAACAGAAAGGAGAGACAGAAAGAAAGATTTCCCATCCACTGGCTCACTGCGCAAGTGATGCAGTAGTTGGAGCTGAGCTCAACCGAAGCCAGAAATCAGCAGCTTCTTTCCAGGTCTCCCACACGAGAGCAAGATCCCAAGGCTTTGGGCCGTCCTCTGCTGCTCTCCCAGGCCACAAAAAGGGAGCTGGATGGAAAGCGAGGCTGCCAGGACAGAAACCACTCACATGGAATGCTGCACGTGGAGGTGGAAGATGAGTCAATTGAGCCATTGCACCAGCCCCAATAAACCTCTCTTAAAAGTTAAAAATTCAGGGCCCGGCGCGGTGGCGCAAGTGGTTAAAGGTCCTCGCCTTGCACGCCCGGGATCCCATATGGGCGCAGGTTCTAATCCCGGCAGCCCCGCTTCCCTTCCAGCTCCCTGCCTGTGGCCTGGGAAAGCAGTCGAGGACGGCCCAAAGCTTTGGGAACCTGCACCCTGTGGGAGACCCAGAAGAGGCTCCTGGCTTTGGATCGGCCGTTGCGCTCACTTGGGGAGTGAATCATCGGACGGAAGATCTTCCTCTCTGTCTCTCCTCTCTGTATATCCGCCTTTCCAATGAAAAAATAATAAAAATAAATCTGAGCATAAAAAAAGTTAAAAATTCAGCCTTGCTATTTTTGGACCAGTCTGCAGCTTATCCACAGCTCCTGACTCCTGGCTTTGGGTCAGCTCAACTCCAGCCTTTGTAGTCATTTGGGGAGTGAACCAGTGGATGGAAGACCTTCCTGTCTCTCCTTCTGTCAATCTGTCTTTGCAAGAACAATAAATTACATCACTAATCATAGTACCAGCAGAACACAGAACTGCAACAGGAGGACCAGAAGCGCAGTCAAAGCTCCTACCAGCTTTTCCCCACAACACCAGGCTTCCCCTCAGAACCACCAGCCCTCTATGTACATTAACCATTACATAAACTCCCAAAGGAACATGTAATAAAAAAAGAAGCTTACATGAAAACTGGTCACACTAGAGCTCACTTAGCTTAATACAGCAGTGATTTTTCCTCTTCCTTTTTGACTTTTTTCAAAGCAAAGATTAACCTGTATCTCATACTAGATGGCCTCCAAAAATGCCTTTTACATTTAACCTCAATGAGCTTTAAGCAAAAGACTCACCTAAGGTCTAAGGTAAAGTATTTATGTAGTAGACATTAATTCCTGTGGGATATCACCCTTGGATCCCTGCCGAGGGTGGGGATTGGCCTATGTGGGGGTCATAGGAACACGGCACACTGTGTCGTGGGGGGACGCTTCCTGACAATAGTTTCGGCTAACCAAGACTTCAACCTGACCTTTTAGCTAGTCATACAGGCAAGAATGGTGGGCTGCACCCCAGCCTCTTTTCTCTGTCCATGAATGAGCTGTGCTGGGACTTCCTTGATAAGCAACTCTGAGAAGTCAAATGCGACACGCAGCCTACCAAGCAGCCACACGTGACAAAGGTGACCTGAGACACACCTTCCAGCCTGTGTGCTGTATGTGACCCCAGGCCTATCTGCATGGGACCTGAAGCATACCTGCCAGCCATGTGTGTTGTACAGGACCTGTGACGTGACAGGAGGGTCCAGAGAGATAGACAAGTCTTCCAGCCAATTGCAGTTGTCATTACTGGGTGGGATGACTGTGGGGAAACATCCTCTGCCTTCCCCTTTCTTAGTCTATATTAGCTTGTGCATGCTTTACAATAAGCAGACATGCTCAACCAGACTGTGTCCAGTGGTTCTTTCTCTGCTGAACACTGTCACTTCACTCTCAGTGGTTTCAAGGGCCTGCTGCTCAGGAAATCCCCCAAGAAATTCCAGCACACCATTAAATATGAACATTACAACATTACCAAATACAGAATACCCAAAAAAACTTTCTAGACAATGATATTTAAAACAGTTGAAAACAGTAAAAGCACTTACTTCATTTCCATGTTTTTGTAGAAATTCAATTTCCTGTTGTGTAAATGTTGTCATGGAGATAGATTTCACCCTATGCGGTGGATTTAACCCTCGCCTAAAAAAATAAAATATTTGACAGAATTTACTACTACACATTTTTAAAAATGACAAACCTAATAATTTTAAAACATTTAGCAGTTAAGTTCAGAGCATTACTTTTACCCCATAAAAGTAGCTAATTATTTTAAGCTATTAACCTTTGTAACATGGTTAGATCCACCCTAATTTAAAGATAAATTCAATTAGCTATCTACTTGAGAACATGTACTATATTTATGGGCTTCTGCAAAACAAATATTACTTTAATGTACTTGTGATGGAAGGAAAGGGAAGCTCTAGAGTGAACTTTATGAACATAATATTTATACATGTCCATGTTTCTTAAAACATCTGTGAAAGTGTTAGAGCTATACAAAGATTCTTATCAAATAGCCCCTACTTGTAAATAAATTTTAGATTAACTTATACCTTTATGAAAATTAACAACATGAAAGCAGATAATCACTCTGAATAAAGTCCCATCCTTCTACCACGTTAAGTAAGGATTCACAATAAATACCATTTTCAACTAAGTATTCAAGTAGAAACCACTGGTGCATGGAAAAGAAATTCAAGAAACCATTGTAGTATAAAGAAAACCAAGAAACAGGTAAATACAAAGATTAAGTTTAAGACCCTTTAATACACTAAAGACATTTCTGTATGTTTGGCCTTAAGGATTTTATCTTGATGACATTTAACTGTGCAGCTAAATAATTAAATAAAAATGTAGTCAAAGAGAGTAAGAGCCACTGAAATCATGTCCACCTGTCCAAAATCAGCCTTCCACCAAGAAGAATGAGAGTTAATCAACACAAAGTAACAGTAAGTTACACAACGTTTCATGAAACTGCCTTGAAGTCATGTCCTCTTATAAACACCATATCTGAATTCTACCTTCTCCAGCACATCAATAGCATTTTCCAAACTCTGCCAGTTCATCTGTTACCCATACAAATCAAATGAAAGATTTAACAATAACAAAATGAATGGACCAAGGTCTTTCAAATGTATTCTGGGAAATTTTTGAGTAATTAAGTATGCCACGGTAATATTTTAAATTCAATAATCATTTTAGCCAAAACTAAGAAAAATTCAGGATGAACAACTCCTCCACTTTATTATTCTGCTTCCTCTCTTCCTTCCAACTGTCAGATGAATGGCACACCTTTTAGACCATGATCTGAATTAAGCCAACTTTGAGGGACCAAAAGTGATCTTCACAACACATGATCATCAAGCTATCTTCAGTCAAACATAAGGAAAAGATCCTTAAATGTGCACGTGAAAAAACTCAATGGACATATAGAGGAATGGCAACCAAACCCACAGGAGACCTCTCCCAGGAAACTCTGCAGGCCAGAAGAGAATGGAGCAACATATTTCAGATTCTAAAAGCAAAAAATTGTCAGCCCAAAATAAAATAACCAGCTAAGCTTTTGTTTTTGAAAATTAAATAGAATTCTTCCATAGTAAAGAAAAGTTAAAAGAATATGCCTTTTCCAAAACTGCCCTACAAAGGATATTTAGATGTTCTCTTGTCAGAGAAGAGGAATAGCACCCACCAAAACCAGAGGCAAATGTGAAGAACATCCCAATAAAATAACAACAGAAGGCAAAATTAAATAATGAACAACCCATTGCTAAAATGGAAAGACCAAATTACCAACTATTCATATTAAAGTAGAATGTAAATGGCTTAAAACCATCAAACATCACAGATTAGTAGACCAGACTAAAAAACAAAACCCATCTATATGTTGTCTACAGGAAAACATCTCACTAACAAAGATAAGTGGAAACTATATCATGGATTTTTGATGTTCTGGTTTTTACTTTCAATTCTTCAAAACAATTTTTTCTCATATTAAATTATTCACTGTCTCACAGGTCATACAGCAGCATCATTTTCTTCAAGAAGCTTCTTGATTTTCTTTTCTTCAGCAACATGTGAATCATTCAGTAGCATGTTATTTAACATCATGGCATTGTAAATTTCTATTTTTCTTCCTGTTGTTGATTTTGTATTATGGCTTTTCACTTAAGAGGATGTATAATAACTGTGTAATAGACTATCACATCTAGATGTGAGGATATAATGCAGTATATTTCTCTACTTCCAGATCAAAGATGGACTCCCACTAAAACTGTTTACTATCTTGACAGTAGGATGCTGGACTCTGCCATTGTCCATGCCTGCAATGAAGGACTTATGTCTGTTTATGAGGAACTATACTATTGTCATAATGGAGGGGAAATCAGAAGGGAAGGAAAGGATTTGGTGAGGGAGTAAGGAAAACCCAGAGCCTATGGAACTGTATCATAAAATAATAATAATAACAATTTTTAAAATGGGGGAGGGGGAGTCAGTCCTTAGACTCCTGCAATCATGTACAAAACCCAGAGTTTCATACTCCTGGCTTCCTCCGGGCCCAGCTCAGTGACTGCAGTCGCCTGGGAGTGAACCAGAAGATGAAGACACCACTCTCTCTCTACCCTTCAATTAAACACACAAATCTTGGGGGAAGAAGGCAAGTCAACAAATCAGTCAAGGAGCAGATCTGATGAAGCTGGATGGAAAAAAAAAATCAAGAAATTGGAAAGTAAAAATAAGAAATAACTCAGAAGGCAATACAGACATGCAGGAAAACAGAAAAAAAGATAATCAGCTTTTAAAACAAATAATAAATTGTCTTTCAAGAGAGAAAATCAAAAAGTGGTAACATACGAAGAGAAAATGGCAGATATTGTTCAGATGCCATAAAAGGCATGATCTACAAATAAACACCAAAAAAAATCTTAAGAACAATCTTAAGACAAAGGAAAAATATTTTGACTTTTCCAAAGAATTCATTAATTAATACAAGGAATATAATCTTCAAATAGTAAGAGAAAAAAATTACTATAATCTCAGAGGCAAAGCTATCTTTGAAGTTTTAAAATCAAAATAATGTTATCTTTCAAATTAAGAAAAACAAGTAGGCAGCAGGCTTTTGTCGGAGCAGTTAAGCATCCACTTGGGACACCTGCTTCCACACTGTAACGGCTGCTCTAGTCCCGGCTGTCTTGAGAATGCTGTGCTAGAAGACAGCAGAGCGTGGCACCCTGCCAACCGCAGGGCAGACCCAGATGGAGTCCCAGTCTGCTCACTCCAACCCAGCCCTGGCTGTTAGGATCATCTGTGCAGTGGACCAGCAGATGGAAGATCTCTCTCCCTGTCTCTCCCTTTTTTTTTCTCTCCTTCCTCTTTCCCTCCCTTACTGTCTCTCAAATAAAACTTTAAAAAACAGACAAATGATAACATAAGGATCTACACCACATGAGTCCATCACTAAATAAACTTATAAACTTAAAAAAAAATCCAAAAAAATCTTAAGATGCAAAGAACAAATGAGTAAACGCAAAGGCAACACTGAGCATCACCTGTTTACTAATAACCAATTTGTAGAAGGAAATGAAAAAAATTAACATTGTGCTCACAATAATATTTAGAACACTGATCTATTTCAGGGACAGATACTTGGGGTTTTTTTTGTTTTTAAGATTTATTTATTTTTTATTACAAAGTCAGATATACAGAGAGAAGAGACAGAGAGGAAGATCTTCTGTCTGATGATTCACTCCCCAAGTGACCGCAAAAGCTGGTGCTGAGCTGAATCAAGCCGAAGCCGGGAATCAGGTCTCGCACGCAGGTGCAGGATCCCAAGGCTTTGGGCCATCCTAGACTACTTTCCCAAGCCACAAGCAGGGAGCTGGAGCTGCCAGGATTAGAACCGGTGCCCATAAGGCATCCCGGAGCGATCAAGGCGCGGACTTTAGCTGCTAGGCCACACCGCCAGGCCCAGGGATAGATACTTGTTCTCCTGGGGAAGACAGGGGGTCCACACACCACAGTGCTGGGTTCAATGCCCTGTCTAGCTCCAAACTCCAGCTCCCTGCATCTTGCTCGGATGAGTTTCCACCACCACGTGCAGGAACTGGATTGAGTTCGCAGCTCCCCTACTTGGCACCCCTACCTACCGCTGCTGTTTCAAGTATTTGGGAAATCCAGTGGCAGACAAATTCTTTCTCAAAGAAAACTTAAAAGGATATACTTGTTAACCCTACCACATTTGTATGAATACCACAATCTAAAGACGAGCATAAAATACAGAATTGAGAGCTTCCACATCAGTGTAAATGGAAAATAAAACCAAATGTAAATTTCAAACTTTTAACAATTATTTAAAATTTTAATTTAGAAATTTAAGCATCTTTATGAAAATGTATCCAGCAATCCCTATGTATTTTACCCATGTTTAATAAGAACTTTTATTTGCCAAAAACTTGTACACAAATATTGACAGCAACTATAGTTTTACGCATCAGAAGGTAGAGGCAACCCAACGCTCCCTCAAATCCTACAGAAGGGATGAATAAGCAAAAGAACACTGCTTGGTGAAAAGGCGGAACAAACTGCTCAAGCGCCCAATTACCAACCTGGATCAACGTGAACAGCATGGCACTGCCATGATGCCATCACCTGCCATTCTCACCAACACAAAGCCTGCAGTGCTGCAGAACACAAGAGTAGGCGCCAAGGACTAAAGTAAAATAAGAACTAAGAGTTTCTGTAGTGACAAAAGGCAGAGCAAATGAGTCAATAGAATAAGCAAGAGTGCAGTGCAAGGGCTTCCATCTGCTGCTTCACACTCAAAATGTCCACACCAGCACGGGCAGGGCCAGGTCAAAGCCAGGGGTTCTGGGCCCCGTCCAGGCCTCGGCCAGCGGTGACAGTTGAAGCCCTTGGGCCATCAAGTGCTGCCTCCAGGGCAGCACGGGCTGCACAGGCAGAAAGCTGGACCAAGTCTTGCATCAGCATCCTGTTTCATTCCAACCCTGTCCCCCACATTCTGCTGTTAGTCGAAGTTACTTAAAATCCATTGACCTGTATACCCGTGTATGCTAACTCAACAAAGAATCAATTGCAGTTTTGCAATCACAATTTTTACACTAATTAAGTTTCTTATTTGCAGA